TTACTTGTGCGGAAGGTCATGGGAGCATACCCCACGGGGAGAATTATATAGGTGCGACATGTTAGTCACTTGATTGTTAAAGATTGAAAGGAAATATGGAGATTTTGGTAATATCTCAAATGCGAGAGTTTTTATGCCTGAGAGGCGTTCTATTCCTTGGGTTGTGGACTATGTGAGTTTGTGTTGAATTTGGCGTTTGTTCTTGTGAGTCATGAAAAAAGGTTATTGTGGATCCTTGAAAGGTTATTAGCCCAGTACAATAGGATCAGAATCGGCTTGAGGTCCGTTGATGGGTCTAATGTGAATGTGTGCTCTACATCAATCCGAATGTGTTCATTTGGCATAGCGATGCTTATGGAGGAGTCATCGGGCATTGGATGTTATTTCCATCATCAGCTATTCCATGTAAACCTCCATTGTGCCATGTGGGTTGTGAGCCGGCTTGATTATTCGCACACGTGTTGAGGTCCCATGTAGCTTGTGATGTTATGTGAGCAGGATGGCTCTCGAGATGCAGGTTATCATTGCACCTTAGTTATGCTTGGGGTTTTGTAATGTATGGCGCTATCCGTCTCCCCGGGATTTGGTGTTATGCACTTGGCGTGCTTGTGGTCAATATTCGGGCATTCCGTAAGTATAAGCGTTATGGCTGGATATGTATATTTTCTTCTTGATTGTTATGTGCGGATCGGGTGGCACGCCGCCATGAGTATATATTGTTTGGATCTGGTTGCACATCGCAACGATGTCATGTCAAATCGGGTTGCACGTCGTAACAACGGGATGTTGAGCATAGCTCCTTACGCATATTTTGTGTGCCTTGTTTTCATCCCTGAGGTAGGTTCACAACATCTGTTTGGTCGATTCATTCGTTGCGCGAGCTGGGTAATTCTTTCCAAAGTTCGTTCCTCCTTATGTGTCATATTCGAGTTATAGCTAATCGGTGCATTGATGGCGTCATATAAGATCTGAGTCAGTGATTGAGGTGGCTTATTGCCTGAGGAACTTGTAATGGGTGAGACGAGATTATTGGACCTGAAATTTGCGCAACCAGATTTATATAAGGTACATAAAAGGGAAAACGTTGCTATTCGATTCAGAATTAGGTAATGCTTCTTGTCAGGAGGGGAGACTCCATGAATTATTGATTCGACAGGTGGTTGTGAGTTTCCACACGTCTCTTTCATCGTGAAAGTATTGCGAGAGTTGGAACAGGATTTATATACGTCATGAGATGTATTGCGGGCATCGAATTCGTGAAATTTCAGCTATTGTGGTCGGAGGATGTTATTATGGGCATGTGAATTATGCGTGGCATAGTGTGAATCCAGCAAAAGGTGTACGGTCGTGTTTTGGTACGGCGTGTGGTGATTAGTATAGTGTTTGAATGTTAGATTCAGGTATTATAAAGGAATTCGGAGGTTGGAATTTGGTTCTAAGGCTTTTTGACTAAATGAAAGGAAAGACCTTCAGTCCGGCTCGAGTGTAAGTGCCCAACTGGGTTGTGGTGGCACGGGTAGGTGCACAAGGTATTGCATAGTGATTTTTGGACAACTCTGGAGCAGTCCTTAGCACATTCGAGGACGAACGTATGTTTAAGTGGGGGAGAATGTAATGACCCGATCGGTCGTTTTGAGCTCTAGCGCGTCGTTAGGCGGTTTGATGCCTTGAGTAGCTTCACTTCAGGTATTATGACTTGTACGTGTGGTCGGAATGGAACTTCGGGAAGTTCGGAGTTGATTTAGAAGGGAAATTCTAATTTCGGAAGCCTTAAGTTGGAAGAATTGACTAAGGTCTGACTTTTGAGTAAACGACCTCGGAATAGGAATTCGAAGGTTCCAACAGGTTCGTATAATAATTTTTGTCTTAGGAGCCATGTCCGGATGTCGATTTAGAGGTCTGTGGGTCATTTGGGCGTCATTTGGCAAAAGTTAGAGATTAGGATGATTTTAGGAAGTTTGACTGGGAGTGGACTTTTTAATATCCGGGTCGGATTCCGATTTCGAAAATGAGATAGGTCCGTAATATCAATTATGACTTGTGTGCAAAATTTGAGGTCAATCGGACTTGATTTAATATGATTCGGACGCGTTCGTCGAAGTTTGGAAGTCAAAGGAGGATTTCGATCGTCGATTCGTAGTTTTGATATTGTTTGGCGTGATTTGAGGCCTCGACTAAGTTCTTAACGTGTTTTGGAACATGTTGGTATAATTGGTTAAGGTCCTGAGGGCCTCGGGTGGATTCGAGAGAGATTAACGGATCGAGTTTGGGCTTGGGAGAAAGCTGAGGCAGCTGGTATCTGGTGCAATCGCACCTGCGAGAAAAGGGCCGCAGAAGCGGCTCAGGGGTTGCAGATGCGGAATGGAGTGGGGTGGATGGATTCGCAGGTGCGAGGAAGTTGCCGCACCTGCGGGCCCGCAGATGCGGGCGGAGGAGCACAAAAGCGGGAATTGGGCTGAGGGGGAAGGCCGCAGAAGCTACAGTTTGTGCGCAGAAGCGCATTTTTGGCACGCAGAAGCGGAGATGGCCCAGGCGAGGGACGTTCCCAGAAGAAAATTTTTACTCGTAAAAGCGAGGCCGCAGATGCGGCAATTCTGTCTGCAGAAGCGAAAATTGGGCAGAACATAAGGGATCGAACTTGGTCATTTCATAATTTTCGTTTGGGATTTTTGGAGCTCGGTTCTTGGGCGATTTTGAGGAGTTTCTTCATGTAACACATGGTAAGTAATTTTCCACTTGTTTGTGAGCTAAATGTAAGGTTTATATGTGGATTTAAGGAGGAAACTTTGGGAAAATTTTGGGATTTTGGTAGAAAAACCTAAAAATTGGTATTTTTAGATTCTGGCCACGAAATTGGACATGGAATTAGGTATAAATTATATATTTGAGTTCGTGGTATTACGCGTAAAGTTTATCTTCAAAAATTTCAAAATTTGGGCACGTGGGCCCGAGAGTTGTCCTTGTTGGCTTTTTGAGCGGAGCTGGGGATCATTATAAATTGTTAAATTATACGTATTGGGTATATTTTAATTGGTTTTTACGTTGTTTGACTAGTTTTGGATCAACGGGCTTCAGTTCGAGGTGTTAGAGTGGCTTTGGAGCCGGTTATGGAACTTCGGAGCGAGGTAAGTCTCCTGTCTAACCTTGTGAGGGGGAAACTACCCCCTAGGTGATATTTATTGTTATGTGAAACTAGTTGTGGGTGCTACGTATGCACGAGGTGATGAGAGTCCGTACGTAGCAATAGCATGTTTATGTCTGGGTAGACCTAGCATATTATCTTGTAATATTTGAATTATTTGAACTCATGTTGCTGACATCAATTAATCGAAAATATAAATGAAATTGATTTAGAAATAATTATATGTACGCTAGGCCAAGCCTTAACACTTTGAGTTGTGGGCAAGTTATTTGAGAAACGGTAATGATTATATCCATTTTATACCCAGGGACGGTGTTGTAAGCATGTGTCTCGTAATTCGGTAACTTCCTTCCTTTTCTTGTGGAGCGGGCCGAACGCCTCGACAGTATATAGGTGCATCTATGGTTCGTGTCGCTCGACCATCGGCAATGTACACATTATTCCGGATCGGGCCGAACGTCCTCGGCAGAATCGTGCGTTATATCGCTTGTAGCCCGAATACTCACGAGTTACCCTCTCTACTGATGCCCGACATTTTATATGGTACTCCGGGTTTGTTTGATGATGACACTTGACAACTTTCGGAGATACTAAGATAGAATACAAGATTGGAAAATTCATACTTTAAAGGAAATAATTGAAAACTATTGAGATTTACAGATTTACTCCACTATTGTTGTGCTCTTCATACCTGCTATGGATTATTATATTACTTGCTTGGACCTCTAGTAAGTGTCGATGTCGACCCCTCGTCTCTACTTCTCCGGGATTAGGCTAAATACTTACTCGGTACGCGTTGATTTACGTATTCATGCTACATTTCTACACTAAATGTGCAGGATCTGACATGTTCATTGATGAACACCTTGGCGCGTAGGCGCACCAGTTGAGGAGACTTTATGTGAGTTGCATTCCAGGCCACGCATCGTAGTGCACCGAGTCCCCATTGTATTATTTATTTTATTCTGTCTTATTACATTCGGGACAGATGTTGTATTATTATTATATTCCTTAGAAAATGCTCATGCACTCGTGATATCGGGTTTTGGGGGTTTCCTTCGGGTTATTCATTATTGTGGTTCGTGTAAATATTTTCATTTATTTTGTAAATTTTATTTTTTTATACCGTCCAATTAAGGAAAATGATGATTTCTAAATACTAAAATGAGTAATTAAATTTGGTAAATCATCGTTGGCTTGTCTGACGGCAACGTTAGGCGCCATCACGACCTATGGTGGATTTTGGATCGTGACATGTACTGTCCAGTAATGCTCAATGGCTTCTTAGATGCAGCCACGTGTGCAGGTGAAGTTTCAAAGGCTTGGATTTAGTTTGTATTTGTACTTCCTTTATTCTATTTACTTTATCAAATAAATATAATATTTTAAAAAGTAAAAAGTAAAAAATAAAAAAGGCAGAAAATTCTACACTGTTTTCTCCATGTCCAATAAAACTTGGCAATCTAGAAAATATAAGATGGGAGTTTGGGTATTTCAGATTTGAATAACGGAAAAGTGTAGTATTATTTTATTTATAAAAGTTCTCCAATGTCTGTGTGTGAAGGAAATCCTTAGGTTGAAGAAGAAGAGAGGGTTCGTGGGTTGGGGGTTGGCGTTGGGAAAGGAAATCCTGCCATTTTTTAATTTTTAAAGTATTATATATTTATTTGATAAAGTAAATACAAGAAAGAAGTACAAGTACAAATTAAATCCAAACCTTTGAAACTCAATCTGCACACGTGGACAGTACTGGACAGTACACTACTGGAGGGGATCTCATCCCTGACATTTCATCGCAAAAAATAAGTTCGTGGCAATCCATGAAATTAACTTGTTTTATTTTAAAACCATCGAAATCCAGTACCCAGACCCGTTTGCTTGCCCCATCATGCTCACCCTTGTAAAAAAAAACCGAGCAAAATTTCCACCATATAAATACATCCACTTCAAACCCTAGGGTTTCTCTATACTATCCTCATACCTAAGTCTACGCAGTGACACAAGAGAGGCCAACACCACCACCTGTTTGACGAAATGTCGGAATCACTAGTCCTCCGCGGCACAATGAGGGCCCACACTGACTGGGTCACCGCCATCGCCACCCCAATTGACAACTCCGACATGATCGTCACATCTTCTCGTGACAAATCCATCATCGTTTGGTCACTAACAAAAGACGGCCCACAATACGGTGTCCCCCGCCGCCGCCTCACTGGCCACGGCCATTTCGTCCAAGACGTCGTCCTTTCATCTGACGGCATGTTTGCACTCTCCGGTTCATGGGACGGTGAGCTCCGTTTATGGGATCTTCAAGCTGGTACAACCGCTCGTCGTTTCGTAGGTCACACTAAGGATGTTTTGTCCGTTGCATTTTC